TAGAGGTTATTCTCCAACTCGTACCTCTATTGCCAAAAGATGGAGGCTTCAATTACAGGTAGCTCTCAACTTATGACTTATGAGACCAAAATTTCTGTAGTTAAGCAAGGCAGTTGTTAAGTGAATTTTACCCCACTTTATGACCTTTGTTGCCATAGTTGTTAGGTGACTCATTGCAGTTGCTAAGTTAGTAGCACAGTTGTTAAGTGAATCTGGTTTCCCCATTGATTTTGCTTGCCAGAAGGTTTCAAAAGGTAATCTCATGATCACGGGACACTGCAACCATCATAAATAGGGGTCAGTTGCCAAGCGTCCGAATTTTGATCAGGTGACCACAGTGGATGCTGCAATGGTTGTAAGTGTGAAAAATGGTCATAAGTCCCTTTTTTCTGTGCTGTTGTAACTTTGAATGTTCACTAAGTGAACTGTTGTAAGTCAAGGACTACCTGTACTTGTCTTCTTGAAAAAAATACACGTTACATTTTCAAGGAATTTCAGTTTTCTTTGGAATACAGTACAGGATTCAAAGGAATTAGTGGTCTGTGAAAATGGATTTTGATTCTGTATAAAACAGACCATCCCATTTCAAATAGTTGGATCTTGGTCCAGTAAGTTTTATACATTTTAAATATAATGTAAAAAAGTGTGAGAAAAATCTTATCAGTGATTTGTCCTGGGTTTTGCTTATTCCATTTTGCAAGGTGATATTGCAACCTCAGCGAGATATCTCTGACACTTGTAAATTGAGGAATAGCTCTTTTATTCTTCTTGAAAATGTAACAGAGAAAACCTAACACTTGCTGGGTGTCCTCAGTCTTAGAAATAGCCATATCATGTTTATGCACTTATAAATAATAAATATCACTTTTCCTTTTAAACATTAAACAAGCATATTCTCAGTCAGCTGACGGATGACTCTGAATAGCATTTGAACAAGTTTTCAAGAGAAACCTTCAAGCTGACGAATGAGATGGAGATAAACTATTTTACAATATTAACATACAGAGGGCACCATGAAAAAGTTGCCTCCATCCACTATATCAACTTTTGTATTTATCAACCTGTGTTTGATAAATGGTTTCATATCAGCATGTCAAATAACATCATAAATTCATGGAACAAATGTTTTAATCCCAAAAGGAAATCCACATATATAAGTAAGCCTTTGCATTATAAAATGTTTCCTGTGGGCTTTGTTGTATGTATCTGGATTTGTATGATAACATATCAAAATAATTGGAAAAAGAATCTTCTGATGCAAATAATAAACATGATCAGGATCAACAATACAAGATTAGAGAGGAATCAGTGTAGTCTGTGACACTGCCTCAAGACCACAAGTAATCCTCAAATGCCCTTTTGTGGATCTCTTCTGAATGCCAAACAATGGTAGTACAATTTCCTTCCATTTTGAGCTGGAAATTATACAACTGTAGTGTAAATTCTAATGTAGAAGAATTCTTCATCCTAAACAGAACACATGGAGAAGGGACCAGCAAATCTTACCCTACCCACATTTGTGATATATATCTTTGCCCACTCAATCAAAAAATGATTTCCAAATCTGGTTCCATGGGCATAGTTTTTATGCATAAGACATCTTAATAATTAATTCTACAGATGACTTTTCTATTTTTCTCTCACCCTTTTTCCAACAACAGTGGTTCTCCCCATGTTATCCTCATAAGTATCCTGTGATATAGGTAAAAAAGACTATCTAATCCAGACTTATTCATTAAATTTCAGTAGAATTTGATCATAGTTTGGACACTTGGTAGGTGAGAGAAAGAGATTAATTCCATGTTCTTGTTGCCGAGATATTTTGTGCTAGCTAAAATTTTCGTCCATGCTATACAATCTAAGCATAGCAAAGACAGATAAATAATAATTAGCCATCTTTCTTATTCAGAAGCTCCATCTGTGCAATGCTGGCAACTGATGAGGGTTAACAAGAGCTGTTCATTTAGCAACTTTGCATTCAGTGCAGAATTGGTACTGTTTGATAATGAATATAGCCCCTCCCCTTTGTTTTGGCAATCATGATTCATTGTATTTATAATTTAGCGATCACAGTGTTCCCAAGCTCTGTTAATTGATGTTGCAGCTGCATTCCTAGATTATGCAAGAAGTACATTTATAATTACCGTATTTTCCAGCGTATAAGACAACTTTCTAAAGCATGCAAATTTTCTCCGAAGTCGGGGGTCATCTTATACGCCAAGTCATCTTATACGCTGGAAAATACGGTAGTTTCCCGCGTATAAGATGACTTTCTAACCATGCAAATCGTCTCCGAAGTCGGGGGTCGTCTTATACGCCGAGTCGACTTATACACCGGAAAATACGGTATTATGAAGTTTTGTATTGTTTCTCCTCTCCCAAGATCATTTCCTCTAACCATTTCAAAACTTGTTCAAGTGTGTCTCATGTAGTAAAATAACATATCAGTGCTCTTGTAACATAATCTCTTTTTATACAATGCACGGTAAACTTAGGTTTATTATCACAATGCAACTGAAAACATTGTACTTTGTGAGTTTATACTTTGTGAGTTTGTTGATATCTATGTGATATATGTTGTTCCTTTTTCTTTTTTGGGTTTTGTGTTCCGTGCTTTTATTAATCTACTTTTGTACAGAATGATCTTACAAATGAAAATGAGTGTTTTAAAAGTTTATTATACTTAGCCTAAATAACTATATTTTAAATATGACCCAAGACAATTCTTCTTTACTCAATGCAACCTAGACAAGCCGCAAGGTTGGACACTCGTGCCCTAAAGGGATCCACAGGCTGAAAGAGAGGGGAGAAGGTGTTTTGTGGTCTTTCATTGCCATACTGCATCCACTTTTCATATTCTAAAGCAATTCATGATCTGCAAATATTTTTTTACAATTTTTTTATTAAAAAAAGTTAAAAGACAAAACTCCCAAGAAATTTAAAACAACAAAGAAAAAACAAAGAAACAACACAAAGCATACAAGACATTTTAAAAGTGCATTTTAAAAAAAGAACCCCACACATATACACATATTCCCTGTGGTTGAATACTGATTAATACATTGCTACAATATTAGTTTCCACTCCTTGCAAAACACCCCCCCCCATTTTTTTAAAGCTAGTAAACCTATTTGCAAGCTATTGACTTGCTATATTAATCACAAAATAACAATAATAATGAAAAAGACAAGATTAGCGTTTCAAAACCCTCTGTTAATAAACTGTTAATGTAATCAACACTTAGAAAATTTGCCATGGCATCTTATCTATCCCAAATCATCACAAAAGATAAGAGTAATTTGTCCTGGATCAAATATCCATGTTTGTTTCTTGATACCATTTCTTATCAGTTGTTGTCTAGTTAAAAATAATACATTCAATCTCCACAATCGGTCTATCTTCCCAACAGAGTCCAGATAAAAATGATTTGCAATTAAGAGTAATAAATCCATTCCCCAATCTCCCCCAGTCCTTTTAAGAAACACCAATTTGTCACTTCTCCATGTCAGGCTTCTGCTATTGTAGACAAATGCAGACTTGAAGTTGAGGGGCATGTATGGAATCAAAGCAGTTCTCTGTATGTACAGTCGATATCTCTTTGATCTACAGCTTTCAAATTAGATTCCACCAAAGCTACATGCTTCCAAATATTTTCCATGACCATTATCATCTCATCAAACTTTTTTAAAAAGCTTTCAGCTAAAAGTTACATGTTGCCAGAAGATCTTTCCTCAGATTTCAGCCATTTCTTGTCTGTAATCTGAAACATTGTTTCTCTATGAAGCTTAACTAGAGAACAAAGGTGAAGCAGAAAGAAACAGGAAAGTTATTTTCTGGATATTTTGATCAAAGATTAAAAGAAAAGTTAAAAAGAAATAACCCAGGTATTTTGCAAATTAAAAGGATAACAAAAACCCTGTGGTGAGAATCCAATATTAATGTAAATCAAATAAAAACACTTCACCATCCACAAGCATGTCATGTTTCCATATGGAAAGTGAAAGTTATTTAGAACAACAGCATACATCGAAGGGGAAAAGAAAAAAAAAAGAACAGCTAAAGTCTAGCAGGGGATTGAAATAAATCAGCATTTAGCCAGCTGGTCTACTTTTACAGATTGAAAGCAAAGCAAAAATTCAAAAAGTGAAAATAAGACCCAGGCATGCTTAAGAAAATCCAAAATGCTGACAGGAAGATGGATGCCTGTGATTTTCTGACCACTCCCAAGGGGAACTGGAATCTTCAAGACTCCCTTTCCCAAATGTGTCCACGGCCATCTAAAAGTCATCTTGGATCATTTCTAAGTGCTCCCATTCAAATCCAAGGAGCACCACTGCCAGAAAACCAGCTTAGCCAGCAAAATCAGCACATCATGGGCAAGAGAAAAAAAATCTCCTTACTGTTCAGCAGACATCTTGGGGAGGAGCTCGGTCTGCAAGTCTTCATTTAGCTCTCTAAGATCCTTTTGTGCTTCCAACACAACCATGAAGTGAATGGCAACAACATTTATTTACAATTTTATGAGTTGCAGTTAGTGATTTTAAGGGTTAAAACAGATGCTCAAATGTAGAAGCTTAAGACACTCATTTCAACATTTAACTCCCTGAAAGAGTAGATTTTTACTAACAAACCTCAAAGTACTAAGGCCATCCTAAAAAAAATAGCAGCGGTTGAAAAATGGAGCCTTGCCATTTTTGATCTCATTAGTCATGTTCTTTGTAGTTATCAGAAAGGAAAAAAAATGAGACCTCTGGCTAGAAATATTCTCCATCCTAGATTCTAGAGAATCTCCAACTTTGATGAGATTTTTAAGAGGACTAAGGGCTATAGTAGATCAAAATCAGCAACAGTTTTGTTCTGCTCCTTCAGAAGAACATTCCCTGTGAAGATTTCTATGGAAGAGATGTATCTCTTCATGAAGTAGAAATAAAGTCTGACTCTAACTCATCTCATTATGCTTACTATACATTTTTTTTCTCCATTTTTTTTTTTTATGACAGGGGCCTCCTGGAGCAGCTGGTGCAGAAGGAAGACAAGGTGAAAAAGGAGCAAAGGTAAATGTTTTAAGTTACAAGAAGAACACATTTCTGCCCTGCCCGGGGTCACATTCATATGACTTCCATTGAAAATTTGGCTGTTCTTCTTAAGCCTTGGGCTAGGATATGTGAATCCCTATAAAACTTTACTTCTTCTGGTTGTACATGATCTTTATTCTTACTGTTTTATTATTTCTTGCTTTTAATGTTGTGAGCTTCCCAGTGTTTTGTCGAGCTGGGCAATCTCAAACCTGAACAAACAAACGAATGAATGAATCATAAATCAAGAGTAAAAGATGAATGATTGATTTGTCCAGAAGTGGTGAGGCTTTTATGACAAGATGAGGCACTGTAAATGCTATTAGGACAGTAAATGCTTCAGTTTCAGTTCCAAAATCCCAGGTGTTTTAAAGCATGTAGAAGAAGAAAGTAGCACCTGTCTCAGTTTTTAAAAGCAATAATGTCTTTTCTCAGAATCATGTGGCTGCGGAGAGCAGCCATACAATCTTAGGAAAAGGAGCTCATTAAGGAGCCGCAGATAATGTTCTCTCATGCACACCAAAACATCTTTTTGGAATCAGATCCTAAGAACTTTTCAGTCTTATCAGCAGCTATCAACTGAGACATTCATTATTCTACTAGGCTGTCTCTTGTTAATAGTCTGTTTATCCAAATGGTAACGTGTAACAGTTGTATTTATTGCAATCACCACTTCTTTTTTGCATTAAATTCTATGCATTCCTGTTGGCCAAAACTAATGAATATTATTTCAGTCCAAGTCTTTAGACATTTCAGAAGAAAAGGAAGGAGCATGGTCTAAACAAATGGAAATCTGTAGGAACGTCAGGATCTTAACACAAGAAAAAAGGTCACTGCAAATAGTTTAGGTTCATAATTTTCTTCTTTTGACCCATATACACAAATAAAATGAGTTTAAAGTAGACTAAGATGATGTCTACTTTTCTTATCTTTTGCGCAGGTAAAGGATTGGTTCTTGTACTGGTTGTGGAATTCTTATCAACTTACTTTTTCTTTATCTGTAAATAAATTGGTTCAACAGTATATGAATATTCACACTGAATATTATTTTATTTTATAGGGTGAGCCTGGATCAGAGGGTGCTCCGGGAAAAACTGGCCCAGTTGGTCCTCAAGGTCCTGCAGGAAAATCTGGCCCAGAAGGACTTAGGGGTATTCCTGGCCCTGTGGTGAGTGCATCGATCATAACTTTTTTCCTTTCTTGGTTCAGGTTTTCATAACGTGCTCTTCCAAATTAAGCTGAATTTATGTCTTTTTGCAGGGAGAACAAGGTTTACCTGGAGTTCCTGGTCAAGATGGCCCACCAGGTCCCATGGTAAGTATTTTGTTTGTGAAACTGCCTTAAAACATAGGCTGAATTTATTTTTCTGCTAGACTTCATCTTTTTGCTTGACATGGAACCGTATATATAAACCTTTAAAAGACTGTCAGATTGAAGTCATGCTACATCTTCGTTACTCTTTATATATCAGGGGTGTCAAACTGCCGACCTGCAGGCCGATTGCATCATAACAAAGGTCGTGCCCACTCCAGCTCTGGTAATGCAAAAAAAGTTGTGATATGTCACGACACATCACGTGATGTGATGAGTTTGATACCCGTGCTCTATATCAACACATGACAGAATAACATCACCATACTGCATTATAACTACCTGAAAAGCTTTGAACATATATAACAAGAATAGTGTTCATTTCTCTTTTAGCATCTGGTATGGCTTGTTATCAAAGCCCTAGTCAATATCTTTTAAGACTGATCATCGGCAATTTATTCTTGACTAGCAGAACTAGAAAGCAGAGGCATCAGAAAACCATCCATATTACTATAGAGTCATCTGTGCTCCTAGTTCTTCTTACACCTCCGATTTTAAACCAAATGTCAGTTTAGAATTACGAATTATATCTAACTTCAGAAGTAAATTTGCAAACCTTGTTTGACGAGGATAAGAAAAGCAACATTAATAATTAGACAGCTAGCCTTTTAACTCACTGATTCCTACCTGAAGTTCATATGTTGTTGTAGTTATTAACCTCAGATTATATCCAGTTTACTGCATTTGTAAACAGAATGCAAAGCCTTAGGTAAAGCAAGAATACTGAATGTGTCATAGTAAATATATGTGTAATCTTCATGAACTATACATTTGCCTGGAACATTTCCATCTACTGCTACCTAAAAGAAGAAAAGTTAAAAGTTAGTAGTTGGAATTACCTGTGCATTCCTAACACAGTTACTCCTAATGATATCCTATTAAGTTCTTCTGGGCTTCACGTGTAAGTGTGCAAAGGATTACAACCTGAGATATTTTATTCCCTGCCCTCCCATCTGCAGCCTTCTCATCACTGCGAGCAGCTGTTCAATGAATAATTAATAACATATTCCGATGCCTACTTACTCATAAGTGAGTCTTATCACTTGCATTAAATGAGATTTATGTTGCAGTCCGATGCTTGCTTCTTTCAGATTTAGTTGTAATAATTCAGTTCCAGCTTGATATAAGTCCCTAAATGGATACTTTATTCTGCTAAACATGTTTAGAATAGGTTGATATTACTCTGTACAGATAAAATAGTTGAAATCCTTTCTATACATTTAAAAATAACTGGTGTTGCATGACATGAAACATTAGCCTATAATTTTCACCTGTTATTTATAGGTTTCACGTACTATCTTCCATCTTCATCCTTCTCTTGTAATTGCCCTACCTATAACATTGACCTGGCTATTCTAAAATAAATGTGTGCATTTACCTTTTAACTATTGCAAAAGAAGTATTGTAACACATTTCCTTCATTCATCTCTAACCTGGGAGTGGATAATTTTTCAAAAATCTCATTCTCTCAGCTTGAAACTGAGGTAGGTCCCTATGCCAGCAATAAACATGGCATATATAACTCAATTGATTGAGTTATATACATGACTTACAGCTTTGTTTAGATCAGACAGAGAGAGAGAGAAAAAGTTGCACTAACTTTAAAAAAAACAACCATCGGATTTCCTCTAAATGTCATAGTTGCAGATGATATACTTTTCTATTGCTTTAATAATAAGGAAGCTCCCTGTTCTCAGACAAATAATTTTGAAAGACTTCAAATGAAAGAAAAGATGCTTAGGAGAAATGATCAACAATGAAATCAAAGCAATAGCACTTAGACTTATATACTCCTTCACAGTGCTTTACTGCCCTCTCTAAGCAATTTAGTGTCAGCATATGGTCCCCAACAATCTGGGTCTTCATTTTACCAACTTCGGAATGATGGAAGGCTGAGGTCAAACTTGAGCTGGTAAGGATCGAACTCCTGGCAGTGAGTTAGTGTGCAATACTGCATTCTAACCACTGCACCACCACAGGTTGTTAGTTGTAACCTTCTTATAGCTTTTTTTCCTGTAACGTGGAGCTCATTTGTGATGTTAAGCTCCCAGAGAAAAAGTGGATATCAGTCTGATATAATTAATACATTAATTAATAAAACTCACTTGCACCCAGATTGCGCTTCTGTGCAGTTTTACAGACGGAGGCCAATTGGCAAACAGGTTGAACTGAAATAAAATGACCTTCTTAAGCCTGCCCAATATCACAAAGACAACAATAAATGTCAGGTAAAGCAGGATAAAAACCACAGGCAACATTAGCCCGATGAATTACTCAGATAAATTTCTTGTAAGAGCATATTGTTAAAGGTCATCTTGTGCTTTGTAGCACACTGAATGACATTGGTCATTGAATGCTGTGAGATACGATTACATCTGAACATGCAAAATCTTTGATGAACTTGATTCACAAATTTCCACCATCTATAATAATAATAATAATAATAATAAACCCCCAGTGAGGCACTACCTTGACGTGGTTGTGGGGCTTGTGTACTCTGAGGAAGATGAGAGCTATGCCAGAGGTTCAACCATACTGGACAGGTCTCATCAGAGGAGTCAGACAAAGAGTGTCTCTCCCATAAAAATATGGTGAGACGTAAATTTCAGAATGCCATACCGGCTCGGACGTCGCCCGGGTTAACAAGGTCCGCGCTAGATATTGGAGTTCCTGGATATCTGGTGAAAAATGGGTTACAGGACTCAGGACTGTTGGCTGAGCAACCAGGGCCAGCAGCTGCAGAACTACTGGAAGAAAAGGTGTTTACCCGTCGCAGATACACAGTGATGGAAAACAAAGAAATAATGATCTGTTACTACAGATCAAGTCCAACAAGAAGAGGATATCTAAAACGAATGCACCAGTTCTGGAAAGAACAACATCCAGAATCAGAAATAACAGAACAGAGACTAGCAGATCAACGCCGATTTATAACACGAAATAAAGTATTTACAGAAACAGAATTGGACGAACTGCAAAGGTTTACCCAGGGCAAAGAAATCAAAGCCTTACAAGAAGTAATTCAGAATGTAGAGGCAAACCAGGGGGAGTTGGCAGTGAAAGAATCCAGTAGAGATATACAACTGTTCTCATTTGGAAACCAGGCACCTCTTCCTCAGGAAGAACAAAACCCTCTAACTAAAGAAATAAAAGAATTGAAACAAAGAATAATTGAGCATCTAAAACAGCACAAAAACAACAGAATAAGGCTACCTGCATTGAAGCTTGTTCCAAAGAAACAGCTAGCACAAGCATTAAAAGATGCAAATACTGCAATAGCAAGTATAAGCACCAATTCACTGCAAGAAACAAACCAACTAATGTACAGCACAGCTGCAGTTATAACAGAATACCTGGGATGTAAAATCAACAAAAAAGAAAAACAAACAAACAGTGCACCAGAAAAATGGAAGGTTAGACTAGAAAATAAGATCAGCAAGTTAAGATCACATGCAAGCAAGCTAGAACAGATGAAAGAAAAGAAGCTGAAGAACAAGAAGACCAAAGAATACCTAATCAAGAAATACCACTTAGAAACAAGGAAGATCAAGGAAGCACTGGAAATAATAAAGCAACAAATAACAGCTATAGCCAGGAAAATCAGTAGATATGAAGCTCGAATTGCAAACTATAGGCAGAACCTCCAATTTCAATCCAATCAGAAACGTTTCTACCAATCCATCAATGGAGAAACTGCAAGGAATCAGTCAGTACCTGACAAGGAAGAAACAGTGCAGTTCTGGAAGCAGATATGGGATAACCCAAAGAAATACAACAAGGATGCGGCTTGGTTAAAAGAGGTGGATGCAAATAAAACAGAAGTTGAAATGAAAGAACTAGTAATAACAACAAAAATGGTAGAAAAAAGAGCAAAGAAAATCAAAAATTGGTCAGCACCAGGTGAAGATGAACTGCATGGGTTTTGGTTGAAACATCTAACTGTTATACACCCACTCATTGCCAAGCAGTTCAACAATATACTACAAGGAGGAGAAATTGAAAAGTGGCTAACAACTGGGAAAACCTACCTAATAATGAAAAATCCAGCAAAAGGGGCAACACCAGGTAACTACAGGCCAATTACCTGCTTACCAACAACTTTCAAATTACTAACTGGTGTGGTAGCTGATGCAGTACAACAGCATCTAGTTGAAAACAATCTCTTTCCACCTGAGCAGAAAGGAAACCGCCCCAATAGCAGAGGAACAAAAGATCAACTCCTAATAGACAAAATGATCTTGGAAAACTGCAAGAGAAGGAAGACCAACCTGAATGTGGCATGGATTGACTACAAAAAGGCATTTGACTCTCTGCCACATGATTGGATAATCAAGTGCCTAGAAATAACAGGAGTCAGTAGAAACATCAGAAAATTTGTGCAAAGATCGATGGCACAATGGAAGACACAGTTGCAGATCAATGGTGAGAGACTGGGAGAGGTTAATATCAAGAGAGGAATATTTCAAGGAGATTCATTATCACCATTACTATTTGTTATTGCACTGTTTCCTCTGTCAACAATACTGAATAACTCAGGACATGGCTATCAAACATCAAAAACATCTGCTAGACTATCCCACCTCCTTTACATGGATGATCTGAAGCTGTATGGAAAAACATCATCTGAAATAGAATCGCTGCTCAACACTGTCCGTATATATAGCCAAGATATTGTAATGGAGTTTGGCTTGGACAAATGTGCCACACTTACTATCAAACAAGGAAAAATAGTGAAAACTGAAGGAATCAAGATGCCCCACGAAAATAACATTAAGAGTCTGGATGAGGAAGAGTACTACAAATACTTGGGTATCCTTCAAGCTGACAACATCAAGCACACTGAAGTCAAGAAAAAGATTAGAGGTGAATACATCAAGAGAGTGAAGAAGATCTTAAAGTCCAAACTCAATGGAGGAAATACCATAAAGGCAATCAACACCTGGGCAATCCCAGTCATTAGGTACACAGCTGGAATAGTGGACTGGACTCAAGCAGAACTAAAAGCAATGGATAGGCAGACCAGAAAAATAATGACAATGAATCATGCCCTTCATCCACGCAGTGACATTGATAGACTTTATCTACCAAGGCAAATAGGTGGGCGTGGAATGCTACAAGTACATCAGATGGTTGAAGAAGAAAAAATGGCTTTGGAAGAATATCTGAAGAACAATGATGAAGATGCACTGAAATTAGTATATCAGGAAGGCTTACTAACTACTGGAGAGACCAAACTGGCCTACAAGAAAGACCAAATGAAGAACAGAATAGAGGCATGGGAAGACAAAGCACTACATGGCCAATACATGAAAAAAATAGCTGGGAAAGCAGATAATAATAAAACCTGGCAATGGCTAAGAGCAGGAAAATTGAAGAAAGAGACCGAGGGACTAATTCTGGCTGCACAAGACCAAGCCTTAAGGACAAATGCATACAAAGTCAAAATTGAGAAGACAGCAACAGACAGTAAGTGCCGCCTATGCAAAGAAGCTGAAGAAACAGTGGACCACTTGGTAAGCTGTTGCAAGAAGATTGCACAGACTGATTACACAGCGGCATGACAAAGTAGCAACAATGGTGCATTGGAAGATCTGCAAAAAATATCATTTGCCTGTAAGCAAAAACTGGTGGGATCATAAAATAGAGAAAGTCATAGAAAATGATAAAATTAAACTGCTCTGGGACTTCAGAATTCAAACAGACAAGCACCTGCAACATAACACCCCAGACTTAACAATTGTCGATAAGAAAGACAAAAAAGTCTGGATAGTGGACGTGGCAGTGCCTGGAGATAGCAGAATAGAAGAGAAAGAACTGGAGAAGATAACAAAATACAAAGACCTACAAATAGAAATAGAAAGACTGTGGCAAAAGCAAGCAAGGGTAGTACCAATAGTAATAGGCTCCTTGGGTGCAATCCCAAAACAACTGGAGCACCACTTGAACACCATTGGCATTGACAAATTCGCTATTAGTCAATTGCAAAAGGCGGCCTTATTAGGAACTGCTTCCATCCTGCGACGATACCTGTAATACCATCAAACATCCACATCTGCCTATCCCAGGTCCTGGGTAAGGACTCGATAGGTAGACAAAATGCCAAATCCAGTCTGAACATCTGGCTGACTGTGCGATGATCTCCAATATAATAATAATAATAATAATAATAATAATAATAATAATAGAGTTGGAAAGGACCTTGGAGATCTTCTAGTCCAACCCCCTACTCAGGCAGGAAACCTACACCATTTCAGACAAATGGCTGCCCAGTCTCGTCTTAAAATCTTCCAGTGTTGGAGCATTAAGAACTTCTGGAGGCAGGTTGTTCCACTGATTAACTGTTCTCACTGTCAGGAAATTTCTCCTTAGTTCTAGGTTGCTTCTCTCTTTGGTTAGTTTCCATTTGTTGCTTCTTGTCCTGCCTTCAGGTGCTTTGGAGAATAGCTTGACTCCCTCTTCTTTGTGGCAACCCCTGAGATATTGGAACACTGCTATCATGTCACCCCTAGTCCTTCTCTTCATTAAACTAGACATACCCAATTCCAGCAATCGTTCTTTATATGTTTTAGCCTCCATTTCCCTAATCATCTTTGTTCCTCTTCTCTGTAATCTTTCTAGAGTCTCAACATCTTTTTTACATCGTGGTGACCAAAACTGGATGCAGTATTCCACGTGTGGCTTTATCAAGGCATTATAAAGTGGTATTAACACTTTGCATGATCTTGATTCTATCCCTCTGTTAATGCAGCCTAGTAGTGTGTTGGCTTTTTTGACTGCTGCAGCACACTGTTGGCTTATATTTAAGTGATTGTCCACTAGGACTCCAAGATCCCTTTCACAGTTACTCTATTGAGCAAGGTAACACCTATACTGTACCTGTGCATTTGGTTTTTCTTGCATAAATGTAGAACCTTATTTTCTTCACCACTGAATTTCATTTTTTTAGGTAGCACCCAATGTTCAAGTCTGTCAAGATCCTTCTGTATCTTAAGTCTATCTTAATGTTATTTTTCTTGATATCTTTAGGGTCCACCCGGCTTGCCAGGATTGAAAGGGGATCCAGGTTCGAAAGGCGAAAAGGTACATGGAAATATATCTTTAGTATACAGCTCATGCAATAACTATTCCATAAAAACATAATTATCACTTCACTGGATGCTATTCTTTCAGTTGTATTATTTGACAGCAAATCATATTTTTATATCTACTTATAGGGACATCCTGGATTGATTGGATTGATTGGACCTCCAGGAGAACAAGGAGAAAAGGGTGACAGAGGTCTACCTGGTACACAGGGATCTACGGGATCAAAAGGAGATTCAGTTAGTAAAAACTGCACACAGAGAAATTCTTTTCTTTACCTTTTAATTCTGTAACTGTTTAGGCTATGTACAAATTAGTAGCTTGTTGCACAGCCTTTAGCATTAGTAAATTGGTTATTTTACAATCATGTCCACTGTCATATAATTCTGGATTGGCTTCAGGCTTACTTTTGCTTGAATGGAAAAATTCCTCACTATTTCAGAGAGTCTGAGTTCTGCAGAGCAGATTTTCAGAAATTAAAGAGAGGGCCAAGGAGAAAAAAGTAATTGGAAAAAATGGACTTCTCTGTTCTTCAACAGGAATGCCCAATGAAGAGAGTTTTAGTAATAAAATTTCTGGATCAAGGAACAGACCTGCAAGATCCATCACAGCAGACTCTGCACCAACATAGGCACATTGTGATGGATAGCATCACATTTGCTGTGTTTTTCTTAAATTAACAACCTCCATGTAACTCTCTTTTGAAAATTGAATCTAAAAAAAGTTTGTAATCCATTTCAAATAACTTTTTCTGTCTCTAACACTTCTCAATCTATTTAAAATGTGCCAAAACTAATCTGGGCTATTTTGACCATTTGCAGATCTGTTTAGACATTTATTTATTTATCAAAATTCTATACCACCCATTTCACCTCTGTGATTCTGGGAAGTTTACAACAATGTAATAAAACCATATAAATACATAAATAGAAGTATAGCTTAAAAACAGAATTAAAAACAGGTCAAAACATATAAGTAAAAATAAATCAGGTTAAAATTCAAAAGCTAAGAAGTTAACAAGGCAGCCGGAGTGTCCTTGGGCCACCAGCCATCCCCAGGCTGCATCACACTTTTAGAGTCCCATGCTAATAAGCAAAATCAGGTCTTAACACTTTTCCAGAAAACCAGAAGAGTGGGACTCATCTTGCCTCTGGAGTTAAGATGTTCCACAGGGCGGGGAGCAGCAGCTGAGAAGGCCTTCCTCCTAGGTCCCACCAGTCAAAACTCGTTGACCAGCAGGATATTCAATTTTAGATATATCTATCTGGCCAATAGCAGAACATCATGAACTTCCAACCAATCAGTGCTTCCTTGTTAAGTTTTCAAGGCACAAAATTCATGTCCCATTCCATCCCTAAAAAGCCATAGTTTCCCTTAGAAAATACATCGCAAACACGTCCTACATATATTCTGTTCGTATAAATTATAATAAAATTGCAGAACCAGTTTGAGTTCCTTCCATATAAGCAAGTGTGAATTGGTAACAAATATTAGCAAATGCATTAAAAATCCTCAAATCCATCCTGGTCTTCATAGCAGCCAATTATTTTGTCTTACAAAATATTAATGCTGGCATACCAGAACTAGAAAATGAAGGGGAACAAGGAGCATGCATTTCTTCAAGCAAAAAAGCAATGGTGCTATGCTGACTTTAAAGCAGCATACCCTGGCTTGAAATAGCATTTCTCTGTCCTCAGATTAAAAAAAAAAATCATGGGTATGTCAAAATTATTACAGTTACAAGGTTCTCAATATAATATCATGTGGTAATGGGGACATATCGTGCCCGACTCCCTTAACCTCATGTTCATTTGGAAATCCACTCTGTGCTTCTCAAAACTGCAAAAAAAAAAAAAAAAAAGAGAGAGAGAGAGAGAGAGAGCTATTTTGTTTTAAAACAAATGCTTACCTATTTAAAAAAAACTTCCTTTAGAAACATCTACAAAGAATGACATCATGGAAATTTTCATTTAAAAACTGAGGAAGATCAATCAATAAAAAGCAAACCGTAAAATGGACTAGAGTTTTACTGATCTGAATATCCATACATCAGGCTCATGGCCTTTGATGAGAAAAAGTACTATATGTATTAAGCCATAAACAGGATGGTCTGCATCTTTTGATAGAGCAATGGTTTATGAGCAAAACAAAAACTAGCTATAGGAACTTGGGGTGTGATTGCAGCCAAAAGAGAGACTGAAAGACAGGAGAAAACTTCAGGGACCACAACAGGCCCTCACAGCAGAGGAAATGTTCTCCTAAGAAACTGGCAGAATCAATTGGAGACATTATATAACACAGAAGGTGTCATTTCAGGCCACTTCACCCGTGTACATTAGTATGTTCTATATTGCTTACATGTAGACTTTTGAGACAGGATAAGAAAACAACCATTTCTATAATGGAGCATCCTTGTGGTAGGACAAGGAGACAATGTGAATCTGGCTTGGGTCTTTCCAGTTCTCAAAGATATTTTAAAAATGTATTTATGAATGTTCATTTATTCTAATTTATCATAAAATACTATAGAAAAATGGAAAAGTTACAAAAGCAAATAAAGAAAACACCAACAAAGCGAAAAAGAAAAATATTTCCCAGATGCAAAATCAATACAGAGATGGCTAATCCAGTGTATACAGTGTTTGGAGATGTACTTTCAGTGAAATTAAAACATTAATAATTCCAGAAATCCCAAAGCACTTCAGCTAGTGTTAGCTTCATTCCAGTAAGTGATACATGGCTGAAAATATTCTGGTAATTGAGAGCCGATTTTAATTTTACTGAAATTTGCTTAAGACTATTCATTGCATTCCAGATCTAAATGTAATCTTTTTCTTTATTTTTCCAGTTATTTGTCCTACTCGCTCTAGCAATATAATTCCATTGACTTTCCATTAGTGTTATACACCAATGTGCCCCTTGAGACCATAATTAGATTTATGGATTAAAATGAAATCTCTTTCTATATCATCTTTATAATAATTACATAAGAATATTAGTTTTTTAATCCACCTATGAATAAAGTCTGTGCACTCGGGCTGGTGGCTTCAGAGGTTTCCTTTCCTTTTAAACTTTACTGAGCAGTAGTAAAATGGAAGTAATCAGAGTAAGATCTCTTCACTTTTCTACATCAACATCAATATAAATCCAGAACTGAACATCTGTTCCTCAATTTCAGGCAAGTTTTTTTTCCCCTAGTTTTTTTTCTATATCATTCTCAGGGTGCTTTTGAAGTTCGTTTCATGGTGTTTTGGTATAAATTATTGTGAGGTGATGAGGTTTGGAATTAGGTGTTCTATTACACATTTCTCTATTACTTTGATATCTCCCTGACTGCTGCTGCTTGCTCATCTGAAAAAAGCACCCAGGAGGAGTTTCTCCACATTTCTGCATTTAATTGACACATGGAGAGACAAGGGAGACTGCAGACTGCCAGAGGTAGAATTTCATTTGTAGGACAGGACACTTACTCTCCTTCCGTACCTTGTATCTAAGGAAGGGTTGGGCAACTGTGGTCCTTTTATGATGTGTGGACTTCAACTCCCAGAATTCCTGAGCCAATCATGCTCAGTTCACAAGTCATAAAGGGGCCATAGTTCCCCACCTCTGATTATGGGACTTCCACTAAAATGTTCTTTGCTTTTGGATGAAAAAGAGTTAAAAGCATTTACAGGTTGTCCTCAACTTATGACCACAATTGAGCCCAAAATTTCCTTTGCTAAACAAGGCAGTTGCTAAATGACTTTTGCCCCATTTCACAAACTTTTTGCCACAGTTGTTAAGTGAATCATGCGATCATTAAGCGAATCTGTCTTCCCCTATTGACTTTGGTTGTCGGAAGCCCATTGGGAAGATTACAAATGGTGGTCAGACGACCCCGGGACAGTGCAACTGTCATAAATACATGCCAGTTGCCAAGCGCCCACATTTTGATCATGTGACCCTGGGGATGTCACAATAGTCATAAGTGTGAAAATCGGTTATAAGTCACTTTTTTTTCAATGAGTCGTAACTTCAAACAGTCACTAAACAAATGGTTGTAAGTCACTGACGACCTGTGTATGCCTTTCCAATTAAAAGACAATACAATGTTTCCTAACCTTGGCAACTTTAAGGTGGGTGGACTTCAACTCCCAGAAATCCCCAGCCAGCAATGCTGTTTTTAATGTAATAAGCTAGCAGTGATTTTACACATACTCTTTTTCTAGGGAATTCCTGGACCAGCTGGCCCACTTGGTCCTCCAGGCCCTCCTGGTTTACCTGTAAGTAACTATACCCAGTTTACCTTGTTTTAGCTCATTATATAGACACCTTTACAAATACAATTTTGTGTAACTGTGTCTTACTTTTTCTATAGGGTCCTCAAGGCCCCAAAGGTTCTAAAGGTTCAACGGTAAGTTCCTCCACACAGATTCTCCCACCTCCCCCTTTGCCTCCCCTCCCGTCAGCCTTGGTGTGGCCCACTATTCTTTTTCAATTTATGAGGTTTATTAAAATTATATCATTCTACCCCCTTCTTAGGGTCCTGGTGGCCAGAAAGGCGATGGTGGTTTACCTGGACCTCCTGGGCCTCCTGTAAGTAAGACTCCTTTTGATTTGATCGAAACTGAGTATACTATTATAGATGTTGACTGCAAAGCATAGCCTTTAAATATGAGATAAACATCTGAATTTAATAGCGTGTGGTTGTCCCCTGATAATCTTCAAGGAAGGCTAAAGCAGGGACTTTTTAAAGAAAGCCAACAATACCATGGATATTTTTAGTTATGTACAATAATATCAGGCCAGATTAAGGCCAACTGATATCCTATGCACAGCCCAGCAATGGTGCTATGTTACAGGTTATTAACTATAGTGTACAACAAATACTTCAATGCAACCTCTGCGGGTGCTTTATTGTTAGGACATCTTTTTTGTTATGTTCAGTTCTTGATGAAACAGCCAAATACCCTTACGCTTATTAACAGTGATATTTTAAACCATAATTAAGATGGATAATATTTATTTCACTGTATTCTCAGTGGCTTAACCTACTTAAGCATTAGAGTGTTTATCATTTTTAATCAATACTCTATAAATATCACTGTATCTGAATAATATAATGCATTATGTAAGTTTTACAACACTTTAAAAAAAACCCACTGGTGACTCACAATGGAAGCAAAATTCTCCTACCATAAGACAAAAAAAAAAGTGCTATTTGATGACACTTTCAAATCAAACTTTAAAACTTTGGTCAAAGTAAAGGTTTGCTTTTGACAATGCAAATTAAAATGAAACACATCAGACTAGGATAATTACCCTCCCCCCCAAAAAAAAGACTAAAGTTGAGTGTAGTAGTGAAAGCGTTAAGGGCATGATAAATATGGGGGAAAAATTGTGATGCTCTCTTCCCTCGTTGCTCTAAACATGTGCTTATTTTGCTTAATGGTTAATCCATGGCTGAATAATATACAGATCGGTGCCTGTGCTCTGGTTCTGTAGGAATCCAGGGGCAAAACTTACATTGGTAGGCAGCCCCTGACCATTTGGGAGATACTAGAAGAATGCACCAAAAATGTTGAGAGTAGTTAGCTTTCTACCTGCGTGAGTAGTTAAGAATGTTTTCTTTTGTCCCAGAACGGAGAAAAGATGCAACTTAATAATTAAATAATAAACCAAGAGATTGACATGGATAATTTTCCTTTATTAGATTTACAAAAGAAGCTTGTTTAAGTTTTATATAAATATGTATAGTCTTTTTTATTCTTTCATTTTCCTTTTTTCTTTTCTGCACTTTCTACTCTTTCTATTCCATAATTCTTTTATTTGTATTAATATTTATTATTGCAATTATAATCTTTCAGTAAATTACATTAAAAAAATGAAAATTTTGCCAGTAAAATTTCACCAGGAGTCCCAGAATGATTCAGAGAACGATTCCTGCCTGTTTTGTCCACTCTAAAAACAAAGAATTAGTTTTTGGTTTGGTGGAACCAATAAAAATAGCTTTGTTTTCTTGGCTCATTTGGATTATATACCATAATTAAAAGGTTCATCTCATTTCCATATTTCTTTCTCTTAGCTGGACTAAGCCTTTAATAGCCAGAGAATGTAGCTAATTTGTATATCCCCATATTTCCTAGTTGTTAAAAGTTGAACATAGGCCAAAGGTTGGCCAAAGTTGGTGCCTTCCTTTTATAATTTGTAGTACTTGTTATAGGAGCAAATCTCAAAAGGGGAAAACTATTTTCTGCTGAAAAGATTGGAGCAAGAGGACTGTCCATGATAGAAATGTTTCTTTCTCTTTCATGTTAATACATAATATCAAGAAAATATGGGAAGCTGTTACCTGGTCACCCCAAACCTGGTCACCCCATATCAGAGTCTAGGCACATGCATGTGGACAACTAAAAGGAGAAAGCAACAACATTTTAAATTAATATACTCAGCCTTCTTTATTTTTTTTCAAAATTGAAATACATTATTAGTTGTGACTCTTCTGCCTTCCTGGTAAACACCTGGTTGTGGTTCTTATAAACTGTATGACATTTCTATTTGAACAAACCAGTGGTGGGATTCAAATATGTGAACAACTGGTTCTCTGTGTGGATGCTGCTTCTGGAAGTCCATTCTGGGCCTGCCTGGGCAACAAAAAATTAGCTACTGTTTCTGCCGAAGTGGTGCGAACCGGCTGAATCCCACTACTGGAACAAACATTTATTTGCATAATGCTTATCTATTTTATAATAAATTCATGATGTAATAATTTTCTTTTTCATTAAGGTTTCATTTTCCCTTCTGGGAGAACCTCTAAGCTTTGGTCAAGTATTGTGGTTATTTGTATTATTTGTATATTTGTATTTTTTTTAAAATGGAATGAAAAGCTATTGGCTCTGTGTTCCCAGGGACCTCCAGGTGAGGTTATTCAACCGTTGCCAATGCAGGCCTCCAAAAAGTCCAAGAGATCCATAGATGCCAAGCTATCTATTGCAGAAGATTACACTGATGGAATGGAAGAGATCTTTGGCTCGTTGAGTTCTCTGAAACAGGATATTGAACACATGAAATACCCAATAGGCACTCAGAACAACCCAGCTCGAACCTGCAAGGATCTGCAGCTCTGTCACCCAGATTTTCCAGATGGTAGGTTAATATTGCCTTATAAAAGCAAAATTTTCCAAAATCTTCATTTGCTAACACCATTCTAGTTACATTGGTTTGGATGTACACTACCAGTTCTCCAAGGTCCATATCACATGTCCATTGTCCTATTTTAAGAAGTTAATTTGGAGATAACTTTGGAGCTACAGCAAACTGAGTGACTTTAATTATGTGCCTTAAGGTTTGGTATACGTTGCTAAATACGTTCAGAGGATCAAAATGTTTGTAGTTACCTGAAACACGCACACATTTTTTTGCTTTAAAAATACAAAATACTGCTTTAGATTTATACAGAAATGCATCAGTAATATTTCTGGCACACAATTGCAGTAAATTAAGTGTTTCGCTATTTCACAATTTTTTTGCTTTCACATTTTTCCTTATTACACACAAAAATGCTCCACTCATTAAATCATTGTTCCTCTATAAAATAGAATGAAACACCATGCTCTTTGTGCACCACACATATTAATTCTGCATCTGGACTTAAAACTGTAACAGGAATGCTTCAGTTAGCCCTACCAAACTGACTAGACTAAGAACTCCATTCCACAGGAAGGCTAAAACTACTTTTATTGAGATTAGCTATACTTATAACAGAATCTTGCAAGTCCAGTTGTGCTGTGCCTCCACATCCTTCTTATAATTCAGTGAATTAGGGAGGCATCTGTTTGAACTACTTTTGAATATTATCTGGACATTCCGGATTGAAAAAAAAAAATATGTTGCAAACTGTTTTGCTTAGGTAACAGATCCTGCATATTTCCCATCAAAGTCATCTTTCTTACTCTCTTCCTCCCTCAATTCTTTTCTAACCAATATAGCAGTTGAATCAAACAGAAGGTTGTTAATTCCTTCTTTCTACAAAGCTGGGAATTATTGCTTATGAGGAGTTTATTTTTTATTAGGATATCAAGCCTTCTGGATGAGTACTGGAGATTGTCTCCCTCCCAAAAGTTCCTGTTGTAGAAGCAATTTTCCACCTCCTGACATTTTTTTGTGTCTATTATGTTTGAGTGTGGTACACCAAGTGTGGTACATTAAATTATATATTTATTGTCCAAGATTCACAAAAGAAGCTCAAAGGAATTGATCTTTGCCTTTTTGATATCTGATGGCTGTCATATCTTCAAATACATGCCAGGAAATTTTGTCCTCAGGGATGGCAAATCATCTCACTAATTCTTTGAAGAAAAAGAGAAATGAGAGCTCAGCAAACAAGGTTACTGGGTTTTTAAATCAAGTTCAGACTTCACCAATTGGATTTAGCACCAGTGATAACTATTTCTTCTGCTGAATTTGCTGGACACCAAATTTCATTGGCATGCCAAGAAAAGTGAAGATTAGGCAGTTACAAAATCACCACATGAAGGAGAGATAATAGGGTACATCCCAGTAACTATTTTGAGTCAATAATGGGTATGTTGACATCATTTGTGCTGCCCCTTCCCATGACAGAGCTTTACTGGGCCTCAGGAGAGATGATGAGCAATGTTGTTTCCCATAGTATCCTCCTTGTGAGATATCATCAATTGGAGCAACTTTTCACAATCTTGGAATTAGTTATCTCATTAGTACCCCTGGCAGGGCTACATCCCATCACAAAGATTCGTATACAGCCTGTCTCAGGACAGAGAATAACAAGAGGTGTATGATCAGTTTTTACTTGAAAAGCACTTCCAGCCTGCTGCCTGGAACATCACACACACACACACACACACACACACACACACAAATCTTGATCTATATGGCTTCCACTTGGAATTAACATGAAAGTCTTTGAAAAGCTGGCTTGGCTCCCAGGGATTGGGATTGGGATTAAGATAATGGCTGAATTCTGTTGATTTTCTTTTTCTAATGACTTGGATTTGTTTTCTATGGATGTACACATTTCTTTTCCTTTTTGTTTTATGGTGCTTATTTTTTAAAATGTAAGCCACCAACCACTGTTTGGGAATTGAACAGGTTCTAAATCCAGATGGATGGATGGATGGATGGATAGGTAGGTAGATAGATAGATAGATAGATAGATAGATAGATAGATAGATAGATAGATAGATAGATAGATAGATAGATAGATAGATAGATAGGCACTGTCCTCTTGGGCACACTATTATTAGGTTCTAAACTAGAGATAATGCTTTTGAATTACGCCACAGAAATGGATGTGAGCTACTGTGTATCAATAGCCCTGTTCTTTTCCTTCCTTCCTTCTTCTCTCCCTCCCTCTCTCCCTGGAACCAAATGAGGATCCTTGTAAGCTTTCTCCGGCTTCTAAGCCATTTACTTCTAAAAAAAATAAATTATACAAGTTTTAGCAGGTGTGATACAGTTCTGTTTCAGTTCCCATTGAGAATTAACTGAGAATAATGAAAATAGTCTAAACAAATAGTCTAAACAAATATAACACACAGCTTAATATGATATCAGTTCATAAAGAGGATTTCAAAGTGGTTGTCATGGTTCTTTGTGGAAGCTTCTCCTCCAGCCTGCCAGCCCACAAGCCTATTTATATATCTGCATTTCTAGGATGGTTTAAAAAAAAAAAAAATCAGGGAGGGATGTTGAGTACTGGTTTTGTTGTTGTTGTTGTTTTCTTGTCTAATGTTCTGCCCATCCAAACAGCAGACAAATACTGCCAAGCACATACCTAACTGTATCTTTCCTGTGTTAACATCATTCTTGTTTTCAAAAGCAAACAGTGACTTCTTTTTATGGACAGATCCAATCTCCAAAAAAGGCTTACCAGAAGCCTGGTAATCAACAGTGTGACATATTGGAACCTCAGTTCTTCTTTGAGGAGGAGGAGAAAATGAACATGGGTACAAGACACCCGTATGCTAGGTTGTCTTAAAACAGGAAGGAAAATTTATGCACAGACTTTGTTTTAATACAATATACTATCTGCCCTGTCGAGCTTGTTTTCAGTTCCTTTTGTTGCCGAAATCACCATATGTATCACTCCCATCCGTAGGGGCACATCAAGCTGTGCTTTCTGCCTTTTATGGACAGGATAACAAATGTTGACTTTCACACCCCTCCTAAAACAAGCCAGACCTGGTGAGGCAGCAATCTTTTGAGACAGGCTAGAGATGCCTGTTATATAAACATCTGAGCCACACAGGACCACCAAACAAACTGGCAAATATCCATGATCTGAAAACAGCAGAAGGTAAAAGCTCAGGGTTTAAACTGTGAGACATAAGACAAGTTTCATTCTTGTCTTATCACAAATCTAATGCGTTTTGCATCTTTGGTTCATTCGGATTATAGACCAAAATTAAATGGTTTAATCTCACTTCTATATTTCTTTCTCTTAGCAAGAGAAAACCTTGGCTAGCCAGAGAATGTAGCTAGTTTGTGTATCTCCATACTTCCTAGCCAGTGGTGGGATTCAAATATGTGAACAACTGGTTCTCTCTGTGGATACCACTTCCGGGAGTCCGTTCTGGGCAACAAAAAATTAGCTACCGGTTCTGCTGAAGTGGTACGAACCGGCTGAATCCTAGCTATTAAATAACTATTAACCACTGTTCCTAGCTATTAAATAACTTGTTGGGTATGCAAAAAGAGACAAGAACTTTCCCCAAATGGCACTGACATGCTGTTCATCTTCAAATCATAGTGATGTTTATTGTTATGGTATTTTTCAAGGAAATAATTTCCCTTTTATCTCTAGTGTACGTTGTGGTCAAGCTTAACAATATATGGACATACATTTCTATGGAGAGCTTTTTAGTTTCTTAACTGTCTTATTTATTGTATTCCTTTAGTTGCACAGGTATTTCTAATCAGACCCTTGATAATGGTTGCTCCGTTTGAGAACTGCTTTCAGTATTTTCCTTTCTGTGCTGGCTTTTAGCCTAGACATAAAGCAAAGAAGAGGGTGGTTGGGAATATCCTTGAGCCTTTTGGAAAGTCAGCATTTTGGTCAAGCTTTCCAAATCTGGTCTTTCCAAATATCAGTCTTTTCCAACAGCAAGTCCGCTCTATAGCTTCTCTCCTTTTTTAAAAAAATCTTGCCTCTGCAGGGTTATCAGTTGCAGATTTCTCCTTTTCTCCAAGTATCCTCTCTTCAGTAGTTCCTTGACACACACAGTACTTCCAGTCCACTCAGCAGAGGCACAACACCAACAGTCTCTCCCATCACCTAACAGATCTGCCATTTCATATTTTTTCATCCCAAAGGCAGATGTGCCCGCTCACAAATATCTTTATTAGGAATGAAACTTTTGGACATATATATATATATATATATATATATTATATATATATATATATATATATATAATATATATATAGGTCTTTGGTTGTTCGGGTTTTCTCCCGCGTAAATTGGAGAAAAAATTCAATTTTAAAATTCCAATTTTACGCGGGAGAAAACCCGAACAACCAAAGACCTATATACAAATACCCGCGAAAACCTCAGAAAACATATATATATATATATATATATATATATATATATATATATATATATATATATATATATGACTCTTTGCATAGAGTTGGCAAATAGACAAGAAAATTTCTATCTTGGGACCAATTTACCTCACTTGAATCTACCAGGACAGCTTAACTGTCACAAAAATCTACTTGATATGGGTGTGTGTGAATTTATAGCTACGTTGCATTGTGGAAGCTACCACAACCGCTCAGTACAGTTAATTTTGAAACAAGTTTTTTTTTTTAATCATTCAGTAAAGTCTGTTGATGGCGTTGTCTCCATTGATGGGGAAATCTTTTGAACTTGTACTGCCTCAAATCTACAGTTACTGACTTACAAAGTAGTGTTCCCTGTCTTCAGAGAGTATCTGTTCTATATGTTCTGAGTTCTGTGTTTTATACAAAATATCGATGCAAAGTGGTATTCTGCCATGGCTAGGTTTTCTCTTCTGAATGATCTGCCAATTTTCTCTTCCTTTCTGTCATTGGAGTTGGAATGTTCTTTATGTAAATTGGCTACCCTGTGAGCCCTAGCCTTCATATCATATTAAGCTTTTCCAGATGCACATCCTCTTTTTGTGTGCTTTGGTGTATCAAAAAAGAAAGCCTACCTCCATCTCAGTGTCTCTTGGGTTAGGCCCAGACTATGTATGTGGATACATTTGTCTCTACTGAAATAAGTGAAGTATCACTTCAGCATCAGCAGCTTCTTATAAAGAACTATCTTATCTGCTCAATGTAAATCAGTGTTGTTGTCCATATCGTATTTTGCATTGCTGGCTTGAAATCAAACCAAAAAGCATGTGGGATTTGGCAGAGCAATATCATTATTAGTTAAGGACTTCTAGGGAAGAAATGGTAAACTGAAGACAGCTCTATAAAAGTAGAACTAATTATCATGGCAGAATGGAAAGCTAGCAAGTAGATTGGTTCTTCATAATTCCTCTCTGGACAAAGAGAGGACTTGGGATTGCCCACAAGTGCTCCAGGTGGTTACTCCTTGTGAAGAAACTGCAAGACAGCAGTCTCCAGTGCCTTTAAAACTCTGAGATGAGGGAAAGCCATCTTTGCTCAAACTGCAAATGATGCCTTTGTGAACTCTGGATTCGAAACAGGATTTGTCACTGCTTTTTTTGTAAAAACAAACAAACAAAAAAAAAGTGCCAGAACTCACACACGTCATACAACCCGCCTTGCCTACTCTACAAGGTTCCAACCAAAAAGAGGTGCCGGAACTCCATTCTGGGCATTCTATGACAAAAAAAGCCCTGGGATTTGTTAACTTTCATAGCATTTGGAATCTTGGGATTGACATGTTTTACAGTATTCATTGAATTCCTTTCAATTCTTAACAAACAAAATTTTAAATAAAAGTTTAAGGCCTTTTTATTTTAGCAAAATGATTAGAACATTGTTTATGAAAAAATATAATGGACATAGGGTCCAGATGGATTTGAAATAAGAGCTTGGAATTAATTATAAAATCCTGCCTGTGGGGGAAAAAATCAATTATTTTTAAAAAATATATCCTAGCCGGGGACTTTGAAAGTTGGACACTAAAGCGAACCAGAAGGAACTAAAGATTACAAATAAATGAGAAAAACAATTAAAATTGACTTACTAATACAGATTGGAGCAAAATATTTTAACATTGGGCATATTGAAGGCTATTTGTGAACAATCGACACAAGTTAATTTTAAGAGTCCCTGTCTCTGTAGATAGATTGCATTTAAACAATGTTATGGAAGAACAAGTACCACTGTACAAGACTTAGACTGATCTTTAAATGGAGTTAAAAATGACAGATATTGAATATTTGGAATGTATGAAAAAAGATGCTACACTAGATATACAAATAAAACCTGCTGATGTCTTAATTATTGAAAGTCATATGCAAGTAAAAAACCAAAAAGACCTGGATAATTTTCCTGTACTGGATTTTCAAAAGACATTTGCTAAAACTTTGAAGCATTTTATAAGACGGGACAAAGAAAAAATGAAATCAAGTTCTAGGTCATTATTTGAAGGGATTAAAGATCAAGATAGTTAAATGGAAGGGAATATAAAGTTTTATTTGATTAAGATTAAAATAAATAAGTTATTATCTCTGGTAGCCCTTAATGGATTTTTGCTGATCAGAACTGAAATGGGAGATTTTGAGGATTGGTTTATAGATAAGAGATGAGATATAAGAACAAAAGATTGTATTGTAAGAAAAGCTATACTTGTTTAAACTTAAAATTGTTTATGCTTGTGATGAAAAGAAAACTCATTTATTTTTATATGACTTTTTTTGTTTTTTCCCTCTACGACCTTATTTTCTATTTTTTTAATTTTCTGGACTTTCTATTTTTTTCATTTCACCCTTTTATTATTTTTTGTAGTTTCTATTACTTTTTACCTTTTTAATTGTAATGCATAATACCACTTTATAATGCCTTTGTAAGACCACACTTGGAATATTGCATCCAATTTTGGTCACCAGGATATAAAAAAGATGTTGAGACTCTAGAAAGAGTGCAGAGAAGAACAACAAAAATGATTAGGGGATTGGAAGCTAAAGCATATAAGGAACAGTTGTTGTAATTGGGTATGTCTACTTTAATGAAGAAAAGGACGAGGGGGGACATGATAGCAATGTTCCAATATCTCAGGGGCTGCCACAAAGAAGAGGGAGTCAAGCTATTCTCCAAAGCACCTGAAGGCAGGACAAGAAGCAACAGATGGAAACTAACCAAAGAGAGAAGCAACCTAGAACTTAGGAGAAACTTCCTGACAGTGAGAACAATTAATCAATAGAACAACCTGCTTCCAGAAGTTATGAAACACTGGAAGTTTTTAAGAAGGGATTGGACAACCATTTGTCTGAAGTGGTATAGTGTTTCCTGCCTGAGCAGGGGGTGGACTAGTTGACCTCCAAGGTCACTTCCAAGTCTGTTATTCTAATTCTAATAAAATTATTATAAAAGAAAAAATGTTAGTCTAATGAGGACCACTATTCCTTTTTCACTTTAGATTCCTGTTCTTATCAGTGTTCTTAGTTGTAGCATTTCTGTAGCAGATGTCAGGCAGTCTTAGAACTGTATTCTTGAGAGAACAGATGACAAGTGAAAGAATGATAGTTACAGAGAAATAGCCTGTCCTTACTATACAGCTTATTGTTTCATTCTAAACATGGTAAAAAATTGATAGCCTTGAGGTGGAGTTGAAGAGTTATGTAACTTGCTATATAAAATGAAGACTTTGCATCTGTAATCATTACTGCAAAATAATGAAAATAGTTTATATAACCTTTCCTGTTTCATAATATGGTCTTACGCATTTATGTGCTCAAAACATTTTGATGATTTTTAAGGAATAGTCTCCTGCATTCTAGACTGTATCAGACATTAAATGAAATGGCTAGTGCATTTTTTTTTCTGTGGTGATGCCAGTTCTGGTTAAAGAAATAATATGACTATTTATTTTCCAATGTCAATTTTTTCCATCTTAAAAAAAAATACATCAGAGATATTTACTGCTGTCTTTTCTTTTTCCACATTGTAGGGGATGTTAGGGGAGCTGAACTATATTTTTAAATGTGGACGTTATTTCTTGTTTCTTATATGTTATGCATACATATTATTCTTGTGCCTGGTATTCTCCTACTAGGTCTGTTTTGCCAAGTGTGAGGGCAGTGATCAGGTGCCAGGCAATGAACACTCCAGTAAATAAAGGGATTCTAAGCTTTATTATTAGCTCAAGGAAACTGATTTAAAAGCAAAACATAAAAAAAACTTACATACCAAGCAAGATGATACCCAAATCTTTTACAAGCTGCCAGGAACTCCTTAATAACAATTACAGAGATATCCCAAGGACAGCCAGTTTCCACAGCACCCAATGATATGCTCTGTGTCTTTGTTCTCAACAAAGAACAACCCCTAAGTTTTTTTCAAAACCTGACAGCATGACTGCATGGTCCTGCTATGGTCAGGAGACTGCAAGATCTGACTTTGACTAGGTAGCTCGTGACTCTGGGGTGAGAATCAAAAGTTTGAGAAAAATGTTAAAGCTATATGAAGATTCCTCCTCCCTCTTCTCCTTTATTTAGTAAACGAGTAAAAACACCTAGCAGTTTAGCTCAGAATGAACTCTAGACTTTTCTTAATATGGAGGAGAAATCAAAGTATGTCACTGAACTCCTTGAAATAACAATGGTCTTCTGCATTGCCACTGCACAGTCATAGAATTGATATGGATTAAATCAAGAAAAAATTGATTGATATGGATTAAATCAAGAAAGATTCAGCTCTATCCCCTGCTTATAAGCCTGGCTCTAAAATAAAGTGGTGCTTGTTACCATGTTTGTTCATTTTGATGTTCCTGATGGGCTCTTAATAACAATGTATAGTTAGGCAAAACATTAAAAAAAATTCACAATAACATGGGATAAAGGTTATTATTTAAAACAACTCATTTAATCAGCAGTTAAGTCTTGGAATCAATCAAATGAATGAGAATGTTTTTTTTATATATTTTTTTAATAGGAGAGTATTGGATTGATCCTAACCAAGGGTGTACCGGGGACTCTTTCAAAGTATACTGTAACTTCACAGCTGATGGAGAAACTTGCATCTATCCAGATAAGAAATCAGAGGGAGTAAGTACCAAAATAGTACTTCTTGCAAATAGTTCTTGCTTGAATCAAGATCATGGCTAAAACAAACAAACAAACAAAAATACAGTCCCTTTTTTTTTGAACAAGCCTTTTTTTTAATATGTCAATTCCAGTACCGTTCTTACAAAACTGAATCAAAGTTTGCCTAATGCCTATGTCTTGTGGATAATAGTTTGTACCTGTTAACTAGTGTCATTTTTTTTCATAGCAGCTATTTTTTTAAGTCACAATAGACATCCCACAGTCATGTGACTGCAATCTATTATTATTATTATTTTGCTTGAAATTAGCATGTACTTCCGTTTTCCAGCAAAATAGCCCATCCATCGTGGACAATGAATTTGCTTAATGACCACTGCAAAAAAAAAAAAAAAAGGTCAAAATCAGATTGGTCATGGGATTTAACAACCGGCAGACTTAATAACCATAATTCTAGGCTCAGTAATGGTCATAAGTTGAGGACTACCTATACATGGACAAAAGAATTTTCAAGATTAAATAATTAGTATTCAGCAAATTTTGTGTTAGAAAAAACCGTTAAATTACACTTAAGTATATTAAATTATTTTTAACAATGAAAGCAAGAATATAAATCTCAGAGATTAATGACAAAATCTCCACCATTAGTTGTTCATTATGCAGCTATTTTTTAAATTTTGTGTTAGCACTTAGTATACGTTTTGGAAGAAGAAAATACTTTGTAAAGTTCTTTTTCTTATCTTTTCATACCCTTCTAACCAGGTACCTTTCTTATCTGGGCTGATTAACTGTGGCTTTTCAAGAAAGCAACCAGATAAATGTGTATATTCAAACCTTACTTTTCTTAATATAAACATTTGAAATATGTCTCCATATTTGTTGAACCAAGAATTATAGGGTTCTACAGAATTTTCAGTTCTGCTATACATATTTGTTAGGAAGATCCATTTACCTAGTGTTAGTATTTATGGAAATCAAATCACACTTTTTGGATTATTGATCATCATAGTGAGGTTATTTCAGCCATAATATTGTTTTAAAAAACAAGTAACTAGACTTAGATAAATCTTTTATTTGCTCTAGCATGGATTCTCATGTTTGGAATATTATTATAAAATCAAATGTTACTGCTCCTCAGAGTGCATTACACTTGGAGCAGGGTGAAGGTAGTCCTCAATTTATTACTGTAATGGAGCCCAGAATTTCCCTCATAAATCATGATGGTCATAAGTCAAGGCACCCACATGATTGGAATTGATCTTACGGCTTGTTTTGCAGCAATCATTATGCAGGCACCACAGTCATTAAGTGAATGTTATGCTCATTAAGGGAGCCAATATATTCCTATGAGCGGTTTTTTTGCAAAAAAAAAAAAAATTACCTGAAAAAGCAAAAAAAAAAAAAAACCATGCAAACATCGTAGTCATCTGATGGCAGCACATCAGCCATAAAAATAACCCAGTTGCCATGCACTTGAAATGCAGTCATGTGACTGTAGGGGGGGGTGGAGGCAGCCATTGGAAGCCTAGAACTGGCTCATAAATAACTTTTGAGGTCTGCAGTAATTTTGAATGGTTGCTAAGCAAGCAGTCGTTAAAGTGAGGATTACCTATATCAAATAAGTCAGAGCAGCTTTCAGCATCCACAAAGCAGAAGAAAATGTAAAAGTCCTAAGAATTTTAAAAAAAAAAAAAATCTGAAAGCCTCCCTTTCAGACACTGAATGTGCAGATCTTTAAAGACCTCTCCTTTATCTCTGCTCATTGTTAATGGTCCGTTCCTGTGCCTCACAAGAAGATACAAGTGACAAGAGAACCAAAATGTAGTATTTGAAGAGAGCAAAATACTGTACAGCACCATCTGGGCTCACCCAGTGCCAAAGACTGCAAGCACAATCCCTTTTCCACATATCTGCTGGAACAATCCAATCAATGTATTTAGTTATTTAATATGTTATCTGAGAACTTGATACAATTTTCTCTGCACAACTCTAAATATAATTAGAACTAGGCAGAAAGCCCATGCATTTTTTTTTCTTTTCATTTTTTAAAAAGAGATTAATTTAGCAGTGTTTATGTAAAACTCGGCTAATTCCCACTCATTTCTTGCTGACATAATTAACACTTGTGATTTCTTTCCTCCCTCACAGTTTAGGATTTCATCCTGGCCAAAGGAAAACCCGGGAACCTGGTTTAGTGAATTTAAGAGAGGCAAACTGGTAAATTACCTTTTCTTTTTTACTTTAGAATTAGCATGCCAACCTAAAGACACAAATCCTATAAAGTTATCCTGAAACAAGTGTTGCCTTTTTTTTTTTTTTTGCTAACACACAAAGTGTTGCATGCAAGTAGTGATTTTTGTGGGGAGATTCAGCATGAAGATACTCTAGGCCTCCTGCATCTTCAGGGGCAGAATAGGATTATAATTTTCTGAATAAATGATTCTGAAAACTCAGGTAGGGCAAAACACTCTGGGAATATTTGTAGCTTTTATCAAGGACTAGGAGCAGATAAGAAATCAGGCTTGAATTTCAGTGTAAGAGCAGACAAATATTTTCTAGTCAAGTTTTACTTCTAGTCAAATCAAGACAACAAAGGAGTTATCCATTGGGAACACATAGAAAGTAGTATTAAAGCAACTAGAGGATGGGATCATAACAAAATGAGCATCATTTTGGGATCATAACAAAATGAGCATCAATACCTTTTCCCCTTCCTTCCTTCCTTCCTTCCTTCCTTCCTTCCTTCTTTTCCTCCCTCCTTCTCTCCCTTCCTTCCTTCCTTCCTTCATTCCTTTCTCCCTCCCTCCTCCCTCCCTCCCTCCCTTCTCTTTCTGTGAAAGATAACATAAAATGTAGTACTTTGAAATGACCTCTTTCAGAGGGCCATGTGTAGTTAGACAAAAGACCACATGTTTAGAGAGAGTGCATTTCACATTAGAGGAATAGATGTTGGGAATTCCTCCTTTCTGCCTTTCGGAAACATTTTGTGTGACACCTAAAATGTCCAAAATATATAATATATAAAATATATTTTATATATTATAAAATATATAATATATAAAATATATTTTTCCATGCACTAATATTTAAAAAAAGGACCTACATTTAGACTAGAACTAAATAAAACTTCATGTTTCTAGTCTATCTGATTTTCTATTGGCTACAGGGAATCTATTGCCTCAAACCAAAAACTTGAGATATCAGAAAAGAGTGGAAAAATGTTTTTCATTTAGTTATTATATTTTTACAGATGAAAATATATGCTTGTGAGATTTTCATGTATCAAAATAATTTGGTTGCCTTTGGATAATGTATACTTTGGCCTGAATAAGAAAACAGGTATCTATCATTTGCTGGTTAAGTTTAGGCAGTCATCCCAGTTTCATTTGTTTTCAGTCTTAATCTGTATCATCCAAGTTCTGGAGAAGTCTGTGAGTTTCTAAAAAAAATATATCCAATTTTTGATAGTTGGTTTTTCCTAAACTATCAACTTTTATCTTGTAGCTGAGCAAAAAATAGTACTGGCAAATTTAGAAAAGTGACTCAGATCTGACTCAAAAAGAATTCCACCTCATCTTCTCATTTAAACCTTCAACGTGAGCATATATGTTAAAATGGCCTCATTCCTTCAAAAGTTTCTCAGATACCTTTCCAAATGGTTCAAATTTTAGCTGAACATTACATTGCTTTAGTGCCTTGAAGAAACATACTTTTCATCATTAGATCTTAGTTATGTCACTGTAAAACCTGCATCCAAAGTAACTCTGCATCCCCTGTGGCTGTTTTTCAAGTGCCACGATAAAGGAAAACAGTGTTTCTTCTGTCCTCTGCTGGATCCTTTAATATAACATTCTGAAATTAATTATACAGCTGACTACCTCGGAGCTCTTTTCTAGGGATATTTACTTCCCCATGCAGGTAGTCCTCAACTCATGGTCATACGGGAGCCTGCCCATCGGTTGTACAATGTGACAAGCCATAAAATGGGTCATCGGCCTTATTTTACAATCGTTTTTTTACTTTTACTTAAGCAGGGACAATGGTCTTTAAGTGAGTGCCAGGGTTGTTATGTGAACCAATGGTTTTCTAACAATGTGGTTTTGCCAAAAATCAGGAGCAAATGCTGGTCTTCAGCAAAACTGTTGTTAAACATGCTCATGTGATGGTGCAAATGGTCATAAATGCAGCTTGTAGTTTAGTGAGAGCAGGGGACAGTCCCAACTGTCAAAATTTTGAATCTAGGTGAAAAGGCTAGGTCCGTTGTAACTTTGAATGGTTGCTAAGTGATCAGTGATAAGTCAAGGACTATCTGGAGCTAGACTGAATACTGATCTCTGGGTCATGCCACACCATGCATAATGCTGGTAGCACTTGATTTTCCTCTGTTTATAGACTTATCTTTTACATTCCAATTCCAAAGAAAGGCAATGCCAAAGAATGTTCAAACTATCGCACCATTGCACTCATTTCACATGCTAGTAAAGTTATGCTTAAAATCCTACAAGCTAGACTCCAGCAGTATGTGGATCGAGAACTACCAGAAGTACAGGCAGGATTTCGAAGAGGCAGAGGAACTAGAGATCAAATTGCCAACATACGCTGGATCATGGAGAACGCTAGGGAGTTCCAGAAAAACATCTACTTCTGCTTCATTGACTATGCAAAAGCCTTTGATTGTGTGGATCACAACAAATTGTGGCAAGTTCTTAAAGAGATGGGAGTATCAGACCATCTCATTTGTCTCTTGAGAAACTTATATGCGGGTCAAGAAGCAACAGTGAGAACCGAACACGGAACCACTGATGGGTTCAAAATTGGAAAAGGAGTCCGGCAAGGCTGTATACTGTCGCCCTGCCTATTTAACTTATATATGCAGAGCACATCATGAGAAAGGCAGGGCTAGATGAATCAAAAGTTGGAATTAAGATTGCCGGGAGAAATATCAACAACCTAAGATATGCAGATGAGACCACTCTAATGGCAGAAAGTGAAGAGGAACTAAAGAGCCTCTTGATGCGGGTGAAGAAGGAGAGTGCAAAAGTTGGCTTGAAACTCAACATTAAGAAAACCAAAATCATGGCATCTGCCCCTCTTAATTCCTGGCACATAGATGGGGAAGAAATGGAGGTAGTGACAGATTTTATTTTTCTGGGATCCAAGATCACCTTGGATGGGGAATGCAGCCAAGAAATTAAAAGACGCTAGCTCCTGGGGAGGAAAGCTATGGCAAATCTAGACAGCATACTAAAAAGCAGAGACATCACCCTGCCAACAAAAGTGCATATAGTCCAGGCCATGGTTTTCCCAGTTGCAATGTATGGCTGTGAAAGTTGGACCATAAGAAAGGCTGAGCGCCAAAGAATTGAGGCCTTTGAACTATGGTGCTGGAGAAGACTCCTGCGAGTCCCTTGGACTGCAAGGAGTTCAAACCGGTCAGTCCTAGAAGAGATCAACCCCGACTGCTCTTTAGAAGGCCAGATCCTGAAGTTGAAACTCAAATACTTTGGTCACCTAATGAGAAGGAAGGACTCACTGGAGAAGGGCCTAATGCTGGGAAAGATTGAGGGCAATAGAAGAAGAGGACGACAGAGAATGAGATGGCTGGATGGAGTCACTGAAGCAGTAGGTGGGAACTTAAATGGACTCCAGAAGATGGTAGAGGACAGGAAGACCTGGAGGAACATTGTCCATGGGGTCGCGATGGGTCGGACATGACTTCGCAATTAACAACAACAACAACATAGACTTATCTGGATCAGAGATTCTGTTCCAATAGAGCAGAAATGGGTAATATAACATAATTTCATCTGTTATGTTCATTAAGTAATGAATTATACAGGGTTCTTCCATACTCAGAAAAAATAATTATTATCTGTATTATCAAGTATAAGTTATTCAGATTTCTGTACAGATATATGTGCCTGTACAGGTAGTCCTTGACTTAAAACAGTTCATTTAGTGACTGTTCAGAGTTACAACGGCACTGAAAAAAAGTGACTTATGACCATTTTTCACACTTACAATCTCTGCAGCAGCCTTACGATCATGTGATTCAGATGCTTGGCAACTAGTTCATACTTACGACCGTCGCTGTGTCCCAAGGTCCCAAGGTCATGTGATCCCCTTTTGCAACCTTTTGACAAGCAAAATCAATGGAGAAGTCAGGTTCACTTAACAATCCTGTTACTACACCTCAATCAACTGCAGTGATTCACTTAACAACTATGTCAAGAAAGGTCGTAAAATGGGGCAAAACTCACTTAACAAATGTTTCATTTAACAACAGAAATTTTGGGCTCAATTGCGGTCATAAGGTGAGGACTACCTGTATAGACTTTCGATAGAGGAAAGCCTGGGACTGGTCTCCCTCATGTGGGATAGCAGATACCTCAGAATTTAAATTTACTAAGAATTTAAAGTGTGTCCTTGGGAGAATGCTGTTTGGACAAGGTTATCACATATTGTTTGCAATGGTTTTCAGCTCTGATAATAAACAGGCAGACTGGGTGCATAATCATATAGCTTTGCTTAAAGGAAATATCTTTATTGATTCATTGCCTAACTGCATTCTTAATGGGACAACAAACAGGCTTATGTCAGCTGATTTATAAGAGGCCGGTTAATGTGTTTTGCTGTTGCATATTATCTTGTTTTGCACTTTGAAGAGCAAGTTTATATATAGCTGTTTGCCTTTTTTTTTTTTAACCTCCTTAGCTTTCTTATGTGGACGCTGAAGGCAATTCTATTAGCATGGTCCAAATGACATTCCTTAAACTACTAAGTGCCTCTGCTCGACAAAACTTCACTTACAACTGTCATCAGTCAGTAGCATGGCATGACGTCTCTTCTGACAGCTATGACAAAGCACTGAGGTTCTTAGGCTCAAATGATGAAGAAATGTCTTATGACAACAATCCGTACATCAAAGTGCTTCATGATGGCTGTGCAGTAAGTATAAGCCTTGGACATTTTTTCCCCACCTTTAGTTGAGCTTTGTATTCAAATGAATTCAGCTTAATACCTCTCTTGCCCATATCTGTTTCTTTCTAAACATATTCTTTCATTTTTGTACCTTGTTCTTAGCAGAGTCAGTCTGTTTAAAGAATAACCCTGTGGAGGTCGGGGTGGGGGGGAATGTAATCCATAATGTAAGGCAAATAAAAGACAAAAAACAATCAGACAGCAGGCTTCTGTAAATGCATTGACAAGGGAAGTCACTAGAGGAAAAAGTAAAGATTGGAGATAGCAAATGAAAAACATTTGTACTTTATCATGTACGGCAAAAAATGAATAACAGTAATATTGCAAATGAAAGATCCCTTTGCACACTTTAATACAACATGTGTCTAAAACAGAAAATAGAAGTGAAAGTAGTGCCAAATTGTCTAATTTTTAAAAATTCTATCTTCATTTCCGATGAGCTATTGTTTGAATTGGTTCTGGAATCTGATAGTTATAGAATGATATTAAAGAATGTCTTAGAGACTTACACGTTTCCCAAGTACTGAATCATTATTCATTACAATCCCCACTACATTACATAATTTCATTTCTGTCTTGGAATTGCTTCTTTAACATCCAAATATTGAATTTGGATATGTAGTGAGAAATGTAAGGTAGGAAAAAGCAGACCCACGGGTGCAAAATAGGTGGCACCTGGCCGAGAGCTAGTACTTCTGAGAAGGATCTGGGAATCCTGCAGAGCACAGATTAAGCGAGAGCCAGCAGGGTGCTGTAGCTGCCAAAAGAGACAATGTATTTGTGGAATCACTGAATCACTAGTCTTAAGCCGGATACTGTCCCCAGTTTTTGTCCTTGCAACACAAGAAGCTGAGAAACTGAGAACGGCTGCAAGGAAGAGCAATAGAAATGTTGAGGGACTTGGAGCTTAAATCCGATGAAGAAGTAGGTATGGTTAGTCTAAAGAAGAGAAGGCAAGGGAGCCTTAGCAGTATTCAAATATTTGAGGGCCTGTCACAGAGATATTCTCCTCAGTCTGCAAGAGTAGGAGAAGAACAAATGAGCTTTTGGAGCTTTATAGAGAGAGATCCAATCACAAAATAAGGAGGATTTTTCTGACTGTGAGAGGTATTAAGCAGTGGAACCTCCTGTCTGCTGGTGTTCTGGGTGCTCCATCCGAGGAGGTTTTCAACCAAAGGTTAGTCAACTATGAGAGCCATTTGTCTATCCTGTGTAGGAGCTGGACTAAAAGTGCTCCAAGATTTTTCCAACTCATTATTCTGTCATTCTCTATTTCTGTGCATTTAAATGAGCCATGGTCCTTTTCCCTCTCTTTTGCTCCAATCACCCTTGACATTTTTTTTTCTTTATTCAATTCCATCTCCTTCCTTTTCTCTTGTTGGCAGAAATAGCTAGATATGAAGCAAAGTCCTTTCTTCCCTGTTCCTTAAAAGCTAATTCAGACTTGGACTAGAAGTGATATGTCTTCAGCCCACTATTCCTTCAGGGGTAGTCAATCTTGGCTCTTTTATGACTCGTGGACTTCAACTCCCAGAATTCCTGAGCCAGCTGGCTCAGGAATTCTGGGAGTTGAAGTCCACGAGTCATAAAAGAGCCAAGGTTGACTACCCCTGCTTTACATGATGATTTTGACACTTTATCTAACCTTCATTACTACACTGACAAGTGAACCAGGGGTGATAAATATAGATAATTACACTCACCTGGATTGTTCTCCGAAGTAACTAGTTAAGTTGCTACTTTTTGGAAATCCAGTCAAGATGCAAACTGACATTTCAGTTTAATTGCAGGAGAAATATCTCAAGTCAAAAAATTTCCCAACCATTTATTAAGTAGACTTTTGAGACTTCTGACATTCTTAACTCCTTCAAATTCAACTGTAGTCTTATTGGCTACACAACCACCTCCTTAGATAAACATAGACCATTTAAGACTCTTCTGATCTTTGCTGCATCAACCAATATATTAACTGAATGTTATTTTGTTTTACAGTCAAGAAAAGGCTATGCAAAGACTGTTATGGAAATCAATACTCCCAAAATTGACCAACTGCCTATCTTCGATGTGATGATTAATGACTTTGGTGATCAAAATCAGAAGTTTGGCTTTGAAGTGGGTCCAGTCTGTTTCCTTGGTTAAGTTTAGAGTAAAGAGCAAATCTTCAAGAAGAGAAATGTGCTAGGTGTCACCATACCAATTGACTTGTGCCATGTGTAAGTTTTAAATAAGAATGGAATAGATGTGTTTCACCAAATACGTATGTCTTTTTTAGAAAACACCCACTGACTGCCCTTTTTGGAGCAGAATCACATGACTTAAATTTATTTGGCAAATGATGAATGATCCTGTGTCAACGACAGGCAAGTTCATCTTATGAATGTCCTCCACCAACCTATCCTTCTTTACCCACCTATGTCCCTTTTTATTTTTATTTTTTTGGTGCTGTAAAATTGAATGGTGCTCCTTTTTTTTTTACAACATAAGAGGTGCTAAGAAGATATGTTTAATAAACTGTAATTATTCTGTGTACAGTACAGTGCTGTCCAGTGTCTGTTTCTAAAACTTGCATGCGTCCCTGAATTGCAACTGGCTGTTACCTTACCCTAATTTCAAAAATTACATTTCAGTACCATGTATGTATTATGAAAAATAAAGCTGTAATTTCCAATGAAGTCCCACTCCATATTTTTCTGATCAATAATATGATAATGTACCCTCTTTGTATATATTGATCTCTAGAGTTGTGTTATTTGAAGTCAGTGACAAAACCTCAGGTCCAGGCAGAACTGGAAACAAAGGAGCAGCACCTTTTTCTCCCACAACTATCTTGCAATAAGGAATTCCAAGAAGGATCCCACGGGCCCGTGGAGATACTCCCACGGGATGCCATATCTCATTTCAAGACCATGAGCAAGTTGCGTTGGTTGGTGGTGGTTATCTTTTACGTTGGCGTGGGAAAATGTGCCTTGTTCAATTAAAATGTGCAAAAGATGCAAGGAAAGTCCCTATTGCTCTAGCGCATGTTCTTTGTACTGTATTCTGACAATATGGGGAGTTATGAGCCAGATGGAAGGAGACCATATCTGTGGTTCATTCTTCACTAAAGGCATTGCCTTCATTTTTGGAGTAATGCTGATATGCAGAAAAGTAGCAGCGTAGTTATTATGTCTATGGATGCCTCTTCCAATATTTCCACGGCTTAGGAACAAAGTATACCAGCTTCTGGCTGCCAGATCTTTTCCTGTAATGTCAGAAGGGGCCCTTGAGTATAATGAATTAATTTCAGTAATATAATTAACTAGTCTATAATTAATGACTAATTGAAACTCTCAGAATTTTTTTTTTTTCATCTGGATATTAAAAGTAGATTCTGCACAATTATTTATGAACTGTGCTACTTTCTGGCACATTTGCTAGGTATACCTAAATTATATATGAGCAGTGCCTGTATTTGTCACACTAATGTCTAGTTTTTATTCTATCTATTCTCGCAGTGTCATTGTTTACTTCTGAAACTTCAGAACAAAGACTCTTGCACCCGTTCAAGATATTTCCCCCTTCTTGGGCATATCTTGATGGGCAAGGGGAAAAAAAAAGAAATTTAAAATATATTGCCATTTATTGTATCAAATTAGTAACTACATGTCTACCAGAATTCTGATGTGCAAATCTTAGTGCAGATAAATCTTTCTTCATTGGTCATATTAAAGATAATGGTAGATCAGGTGGAGGGACTTTCATCCTGGCCACTTGGCTACTTTAAGCAAATACATTGCAGATGATGGAAATAGTCAATGCAACACTATAACCTCAGATTCTGGATTTATATCAATGGAATCTATTTGCTCTCCCAGCACAGAAGATACATGAGTGTAAACTTAAATCTGTTCAGGTAACCTTCTTGCTGTATTGTGACAAATAAGTCTAGGTCATGTGATTCTACCTAGTTGCCAAGCAACCTATGAGAAAATTGCTAACCATGAAGCTTATTATTATTTTTTTTTACTCAAGCAGTTACAATTTGCAATCTTATTTTTTTTTCCTGGCCTCAAGGTTTTTTTTTTTCTGGGTGGTCAAACATAGACATTAATTTAACACAAATCCTTTTGTACTTATTTCTCATAATATATGTAAGACTTGAAAAATATTTGTTACTATTTCTTATATAAATCTGTTTAAATTAATTGATACCAGATCCCACTAGCTCATTTTCTGCTGTTTTTAAGCATGCAAGCATTTTATATGTAAAAGAAATTTCAAAGTCAACAATTTGCTGTTTGGAATTCCTTTTCTAAAACCAAAGTTTGTTAATTGCCACCTGAAAGACAAAAATAATATACATTTTATTAATAAAATCAATTCCTGTCTCCATGGACTGATCATTCTGTTTTTTAATCCTACAGGAAATGCTGTGTAATCTTCAATAACACAATTAAATTCTGGCTGTAGGTAATCTATCACATAAGCCACAGAATATAGATCAAAGCCTCTTGTAAATATTCAGGTCAAAATCCTCATAAATGGAGTAGGAGGAGTGTGTTAAATAAGTTTTGATTTCCTAAATGCCACCTTCAGGAAGCTTTGTTTATTATTGATGAAGTTCAAAAATGTCTGCCTGAGTCTGGAGAGGAAAAATATTATTTTGACCAATTTTAAAGAATGCAAACAACTTTTAGCTGCTTTTATAAAACATGTTTACCAAATTTATCTACTTTTTCACGTAACATTGATCCCTAAACCATAACAATGAGGTTGGGTATCCACAAAACACTTAACCCAAAACCTTGCTAAGGTGGGAAGGCACTTGTTCTTGCTTGCCTTATTGTATAAACTCAAACTCTAGATCAATTATTAGAATATCACTGAATAGTTGCTGACAGTCTAAATGTTAAAAATGCACCATCCTTAACTGTGCTAATGTGCTATCAGTAAACTGCTGCCAATATCACAGCAGTTGTGACACTCTACTAACTCACCACTGCTGCTATTCACCATCAGGCCCATTCACCCAATCTATCCTGAGTGCAAGTTGATCTGGTTACACACATAGATATACACAATATATGTGCCATTATGTTTCTGAAGGCATGACTGGGAAAGGTGATTAGCAATGGGTGAAATAACAACATGCCAAGGCATGGTAGAATCTGGCACTATCATTGCCCAAACCAAACTAGCAGTGTTTTTTTTCTATTAAAAAAAAAAAAAAGTGCCAGAACTCACACATGTCATACAACCCGCCTTGTCTACCCTACAAGGTTCCATCCCAAAAAGGTGCCAGAACTCTGTTCTGGGCATTCTATGAGAAAAAAAGCCCTGCAAACTAGAAGAAATTTCATAATTACTATCCATTGCCTATTAAATATTGCAGTGGTCCAGGGTTATCAAATGTGACTGCAAAATACAAATAACCACTAGATGGCAGCATATATATATAAAAACTCTTTACTACCATCTCAAGGTTATCTGGATTCATGCGCTTTAACCTTAGCAAAATCGTTCATAGAGGAGCTCAACTGCGTTGAAGCTTTTTTCTCATAGGCAAATTAATTAAACATTAAATTGTGTTTCAGGCTATGATGAAAATCAAGTGATTATTTTCAAAAAGAATAATATACAATAAAACTAGAAAATGAGGGATGCGTTTAGCATGCTGGCTGGATACCAGTGCTAATATTAGCTGCATTTTGGCAGAAGCATTGCCTGAAACCCATGTCAGCTGAATTGTGCTGTTTGCCAGAAAGTGAAAATGGCAATTAAGAAAAGGCATACATTTTCCTCCATGAGCAGAATTGTTATTCTTCTTGAGAAAACCTGACTTTATTAAATTCTCTGTCAAAAATAAATTGACTTTGAAAGAGTCAAATGGAACTTAATCCTTAACCTTTTTGCAATGAATGGAACTAAGATTTTCAAAATTATTAAAGGGAGGAGAAAGCATTTATATTAAGGTTCTGGTGCTTTATATATATAATTTTTATTACTAACACAGTAGTCCTGATCTAGAGTCTAAGGGTTTTTACAGTTCCTTTTTCCAAGAAAAAAAGAGAAGAGTGGAAATTAATCAGTCTGTTTCTAATCACATCCCTTGACTGTGTTTGTAACTCATATACTCCATTCTGTGGTTCACATTAAAAAGTAAAGCCGCCTCTGAAGTAAATCTGAAGCCTGTAACTTTTGGGGACCCATTCATTAGAGCAACAGTACTGTATGGAAATAGTTTGCCATCACCTTCTTAATCAAGGAACTATTTCAACCAATTGGTTCATTTTGCAGTTCATTTTTTAAGGAAATCTGGGGACTTTTTTTTTCAACTGCAACCCTTTATGTACACAGATTTTCCAATAATAGCAATTACAGTTACCCCTGATTTAGGCAGCTTCAGGCATAATTCCCACCTCCTACTTTGAGAAAAAAAAAATAACTGCTAATTGGGTAAGTGTCTCACTGTTCCATAAATGTCCTGCTGCCATCTTTTTTTGCTTATCTCTGTCATGCAATACTCAGGAAAGCTCTTGGAAGCATGTTTCATCAGCAACAAGGTTTGTTTTTGCAAATTTTTCTTAACGTTGTGTCCCTTCATACCCCAGTGTGCTCTGTTTTAGAACTTGGAATATTTGGCAAAAAAGCATATTCCTCATTAGAGGGTTGACATCTCTTCCTGAAATTCTTAAGATTCTGATTAATAGCCCAGTTCCAGTGTACAAATTTGAAAGATAAGAGATATTTTGTATAAGGGCGTGCAGAGTATCAGTTCTTCAAGCATCTTTAATGACGGAGAATTCTTCAAATATCCATTGCTTGTGAATATAGAATGCCAAATTTCATTGAAATTAATTGGAAAGTATTTGAAGGTGTGGAGTTCAGAACTACAAGAAATGGCTGAGTTGGGTGACTTCAATTAAACACCCAGGGTAGCTGCCACAAATTAAACTCATGGGTGGGATTCATTGTTTACACACCTAATGAACTAATATACTGTATATTGCCCATTTGAAAGCATGATATAAATGTACATATCACTGGTTTACAAGATTTTCTTCTATCCAACGGATCCAAAGTAAATGCATAACATCTCACATGCAGGGATTGTGTTTGTTTCTTTGTGTCGAGGGATGTTATATTGATGTTCCATCTTCTGAGAATTGAAAAAGACCCTGTAAGTGTGAGATGATTGGACTCACTCTATTAAATATATTTGTAATACTCCAATTTGCATTTATTGCTTTGAGTTTGTAAATTCTATGGCTTAAATAACATCCTAATTTGGGATCTGGTTTCAGTTCATTAAATTTAAATAGAGGCAATACTAAGATGGATTAGTATTTTTTTTAAGAAAGAAAACTTTACTAATTTAAACTACAAACTGTTGCAGAATGTCAAGTATCGAACACTCTATAAAAACTGAAGAGACTTGAGAGAACTGTTTATATACAACATAGAATTGAAGTGATTACAACTACATGCAGCAAAACATTATAGCATAAATAGGAAGCAGAAGAAAATAAAAGATAACCCAAAACCATGCAACTATATTGTTAAGCTGGCGGCACAGTCCAATCAACCATAAGCACTTTTAGTTTCAATAGTTTCATGGTTAATTAATTAATTTGATTCTTATACAATCCTGCTTTGTACCGTTAAAGCAACATCTGGAAATCTATAAATTTGGGAGAAGGCTTAGAAAAAATGTAGTAATCCTATGGTTTGGGTGTATAGCTTAGGATATGAGATCCTGCGTACTGAAGAGGATACAGTCCTTGACTTACAACAGTTCATTTAGTGACCGTTCAAAGTTACAATGGCCCTGAAAAAAGTGACTTATGATCATTTTTCACAGTTACAACTGTTGCAACATCCCTGTGGACATGGGATCAAAATTCAGATGCTTGGCAACTGACTCATATTTAGGATGGTTGCAGTGTCCAGGGATCATGTGATCATCTTTTGCGATCCTCTGACAAGCCAAGTCAATGGGGAAACCAGACTCACTTAACAACCGTGTTACCAATGATTTACTTAACAAATGAGGCAAGAAAATGGGGCAAAACTCACTTAACAAATGTCTCGCTTAGCAACGTAAATTTTGGGCTCAATTGTGGTTGTAAGTTGAGGACAACCTGTATAGAATTTGAAAAGTGATTGTTGGACTGCCACCAAGTAACTCCATCTTCCCAGTCTAAGGTTTGCCTTCTTAGCTTGAAAATATCAGCTTAAAAATAACAACACAGCCTTATTTTTTTTTTCCTTCCCTAACTGCCACAAAGATTACCAGAGCCAAAGATTTGGGGTGTTTTTGCTTTCGAGGCATTGTTGATTCCTGACAACTGCTTAGATTAATTCCTGCAGTTTTCTTGGCAAGAACTATCACCAAAAACTGAACACTTTAATAACAGAATAATCAGAGAAGTCATCGAGATAGAAAAACACCCACACAGCATGAACAAACGAGATGATACCTCCTGCCTACCAGCCATTTGGAAACCCGCCCTTATTGACAAATGAGTCCCTAACACAAAAAATGACACCAGACCCACACTCACAAAAACCACACACAGGTGTCACCACCTCACATCCATGCAAAAAGCAAACCCAAAGCCACATCGATGATAAGGCACTGCCACAAACCAGAAGCCAGACCACAGCTGCATCATTAGCCATTTTAAACCCCTCCAATCCATACATGACACCCACCATGAAGATGAGGCACGAACGCGAAGCCAAACAATAGCAATGCAGCTCACCATCTCACATCCCCATGCAACTCAGACTAACCTGAGCACAACAAAGCCCCCACCCAAGGAGAAGACTCCCCCAACCATTCAGAGCACAGCCAAACCCCCATCCAATCAGAGCACAGCCAAACCCCCCATCCAATCAGAGCACAGCCAAGCTCCTAACCAATCAGAACACACCTCCATCCAATCAGAACACAGCCAAGCTCTCATCCAATCAGCTCATACCCCCACTGGCAGTTAAAAGGAAGAAACAGCTACGATCACACATTGCTCCTAGAAGCACGAAGCCGAAAACACCAGCCTGAAGATGACGAATGAGACTTCGTCAAAACGTCGCCAAGACACTTCCAATTTGATGCAGGAGAAAACCCGAATAACCAAAGACCTACATACAAACACCCGCGAAAACCTCAGAAAACACACACACACACACACACACACACACACACACATACACACACACACACACATATATATATATATATAAAAAATAGAATTTAATCCACCAAGCTTTCGTCAAATACATTTGACATCGTCAGGGTTAAAAGGCAAACGCCGGGCGAAGTCTTATATACAATTGTTTAATGCCTGTTTCCGGCTCCTGGAGCGTGTCAACGGCCCCAGCTGATCG